CACACTACTTGGTTTTGTGTAGGTTTATACTGTTTTGGCAAGTGCTCTTTATCCCTATGCCCCTCCCCACAACTCCAGACTTCCTGCAGAACTTATGGAAGCATTTGCCTTGAGCTACAAGACCATGGTGGGTACTAACCAATGTCCTACCTCCACAGACACCTGCAACTTGTAAACTTGACCTTTGGACTCATTTACAGTTCAGCTGTTGGCAATCGCTTGAAGGCCAGTGCTGATGGTGACGGCTGGATTCTAGATCTGTTCAGGACTCTCCCCAGACCCCCTCACACCATTTTCCTCCTCCATATTCTAGCAAAGGCTGTCACATGGCTGTTGTGCCTTCCCAGGAGGAAAACAGCAGCCTTCAGGGGCCGAGATTCACTCCTAGTCACGGTTTGCAAAAGCCAGGGTGGGTGAGCAGATCCTCTGCAAACCTCTGAAGGTGGGTGTGGGCCATGGCTGACATCATAGAGGCCCCTGTTGGCTCTTCTCTCCTTGGGAGTTCTCACACTGAAAACAATTCAAAGGCATTGTAACAGCAGCCAGAGGCACTTGTGCATTCTTAACATGGCCCATGCACTCTGGTGGGGATAGCTCTCCAGCAGAGGCTGTGATGCTTTGCTGGGTTATGGAATCTGTCTGCTGAGTTGCGAACGTCATAGTCTCTACGAAATCTGTCATGGAATTGTCACAGGGAGAGCGCATCTGTGATCAAAGCACAGCTTTGGGATGCTTCACCTTGGTGTCAGCTGGGCCTGGCTTGGAGTCACCTAGGAGACACACCTCTCTCCTGGATATTTAGTACTTACAAAACTGCTCTGAGATTCTTATATTTTTGGTTGTGAGCCTAGTCTTTAACAGCTGAGCCATCTCTCCAGCCCTGCTCTGAGCTTCTTAACCCTTTCATTGTACTTGACCTGGATTTGAACTCTACAGCCATCATTCTTTGTGAATCTGTTTTGTTGACTTCTGTTTTCTGACTCATTTATATCATGACAACTAATTCATTAATATGTAATTATGTAACATGTTCTCTCTGTGAGGAGTCCTTGACATTCTGTGGCTCTGTGTAGTTATGTGTTCTCACAGTTCTGATTTCTTTTGTCTTATTTCTTAAACTTAACTAGCTAAAGCATAGGTAACTGGTGCTTCAAACCCTGAGCCATTTTTCATTTTATATTAATTACTATATTTAAATGTCTTGAACTTACTCTCCTTGTCTCCCCCACCCCTCTTATCTATGAATGCCTAGAATGATTTCATCTTTCCCTTTGGTCTGACACCAGGAAGTTCTGAGCATGGGCCATTGTTGTGAATGGGAACAGAAACTACCTGCCTGCTTGGGGAAACTGAAAGCAAATTCTCTAAGTGCTGAAGGCAATAGGTCTTCCTTAGACTACATGCCTGCTTTCTCTGAGTTCGAGGCCAGCTTGGTCTACAAAGTTACACAGAGGGAAAAAAGGAAGAAAAAGAAGAGTAAAAGAAGATTACAGGACTGCTACTCATTAATTCATTCACTCATCCATTCAGCTTCTAGTTTCTCATCTCTGTGCCCCCATGGGCAAATTGCTACAGGCACAATCATTCAATCCAAACCAGATGGTGCCACCAGGTTCTCTTTCCTAGGAATCTTAACTTGGCACTAAAAGTTTGACTTAAATTGGCCGCTGCTGTCTATTCAATAACCATGTGCACAGAAACCAAGAGCTGCAGTTTCTATTGTAGCCTTGGCAAGCATTCCCTCTGAAGGGTCTCTCTGTTGGTGGTTAGAGATGTTGTGTGTATTTGCATGCCTTACCAGCTTATTCCAATGACTTCACACAAAGGTCAAAGGTCAAGCTGATCACCTCATTCTATGAAGAGGAACCTGGCATGTTGTTATGGGTCCTGGCTTCAGTATGTCAGAAATAATTTTTTGTTTTGCTTTCTATCAAAGGAGGCTAGCTCACCAAGGGTCAACATTCTATAAATCTCTCAATTTTGTTAAACTTTTGTGCAAAAGCATTCAAATCATTTCATCTAAATGCAATTTTTTAAAATGAAAACCCTATCCTCTACATTTCTGGAACCTGATGGCCTGGAGAGGCTGATTCCTTGCCCCCTTTTCATTCCCTTTGCCCCCCCCTTTTTTTTTTTAGTTAGCCAATCTGGAAAGGTTGCGCACCAGTCAATGAGAAAAAAGACACAGCTACCACCTTCATTAAAATGACTCCAAGTAACTTCTCCCCTTGGTGTGCTTCTTAGCCAGGGTTAGGTCTTGGTGCAACCCCCCCCCCTTTTTTTTTTCCAAAAGCAAATTGACTTATATTGTGTTTCTTTGTGTGACACCCAAACTACTTACTTCTAAGAATTACAACCCCGCACTCTGATACTCTATCAGGTGTCCCGGGCTATGATTTCACACAGCTCACCCTTGGAGGTGATGTGATCCTTGAACAGCCCACTCCAGATTCTATTGCACATCACATCTTCTTGCTCTACCAATTCTATTGATGGTTCTCACACCATGACCTTAACCCCTCCTGGTGCTGGGGTAAATCCTAAGTTGGGAACATCATTGAGACACACATCTTTATTGTGAACCAGCAAGGTGAAGGTGATCTAAAACACAGCTAGCGCGCGCGCGCGCGCGCGCCCACACACACACACACACACACACACACACACACGAGAGAGAGAGAGAGAGAGAGAGAGAGAGAGAGAGAGAGAGAGAGAGAGAGAGAGAGAGAAACAAAAATTTCAAAACACCAGACA